TATGAGCACTATTCCTACCATCAGTAATCTAGCAATTATACCCTCAGATGTCTTCGCCTTTACCATAGGGAGGTCCCTAGGATCCCCGCGCGCACCAGCGCGGCAGCCGACGACACAAGGCGGTTACGCCGGGCAAACACGGCTCGATACGACGGAAGTGAGTGGCCGACCACCATCTACAGCTAAACGCGAAAGGATGGGTGGCGGTTAGGGACTCGGAGACGCCATGTTGTGGGCTGTAGCGGCGAGCAGCGATCCACGGCAGTGACGCGACTGTTCTGGCAAGCCTACACCCTCACGTAAAGGTAGAGATGGTGGAGGAGCATTCATAGCTCACTGTGGTGCACGCTCTACTGACTGTTGAAGCTAGGGAGCGCTGCAGCGGTCTGGCCACGGCGACCGAGCGGGGCGGCGGCGCTCTGCGATGGACACCGCGCGTCACTCCATCGACGATGAGCACCCTAGCCAAAACCGTGCGAGCACCGGATAGAGGGAGTCAAGGTGAGCTCAGGGTTACGAGCAATTGAACTACTACCACGCCTACATCCCTTACCCCAACCTTCTGGTCACGGCGGCGCACATGACCAGTGGCGAGCAAAAATGCCAATTTGCCAGTGGGTAGTGATTGACCGGGCTTGAGGGGAAACGGGCGTCTAGCTGACTACCTAAGCTACTCACTGGTGCGAGGAATTGGACTAAGAAGCCTTGAGCTAGGCAAATTGAAGGAGCAGAGAGCGCGGTGCCTCGAATGCGACAACGACTTCGACCACGTGCTGGCGTGGCACTACCGATATAGACAACACGTCCTCTCCATCCTATCTCGCAGGCGGGGCGGTACACGCCGTTGTGGCAGCAGGGGTAGATGGGATGAGCATCTGGGATCGCGCCACGGGACACAGCAGCGGCGCGGCGGTAGGTGAGGTGCATGGCCGAGAGCGCGTGTGCACGAGAGGGCGGCTACGACCAAGACACATGGCTTGGTGCGGTAGAAGAACTGGAGGGCAGAGCGATTGCCACGCTGACCTAGAAACGATGGCTGTAGCCATGGCTCGACTCCGCGAGCGGCTCGGTAGCCAAAGGGTGGCGCGCGCGCGCGACAGTGGAAACCTGGCCGCAGCCGACCGGAGCCGGACATCGCGAGGCCAAGGCGCTACGGGGCATGACCCGGGCGTGCGAGCTGGCCAGCGGCAGCAGGTCGACCACGGCATGAGCCTGGCGTCAGCAACACCCACACGTGCGGTGTCCGTGAACTCGGGCCAAGACGTATCAACTGGTGCCATGCACGCATTTTAAAGCGAAGCAAAAGTCGCTAACGATCACGATCGAGGCTCAACTAATTCCCCTAACCTAAAGTCGATACTAACACCTAGCTAACGAAGCAAACCTCACGTCCAGAGAGAGGCCAGAGGGGGAGATACAAGGATGCTAACTTGGGTTCGTCGCTGGAGTGCCGGTTTGTGAATGGAGCGCCAACAACGCGGTTACAACACGTTCTAATGAAGTTTGGGCAATTTTAGAGCGGACAACGTGACATCCAACACAATGTCGACCTATGCCATGCTCAAGCACTCACTTTGATGCAATCAATAATACCAAAACGTGCAACTAGTGTTTAAACATTTTTGTTAGAAATTAAATGTCAAAATGGTATTGTCTTACTACTTTTCCATACTAGGAAAGCTAAGGGTTTCAATTGAGGTTAAGTAGCCATTAACTCTTTTGTCGCAATTTAAAATAGATCTAAACCTTGTTAACTTCAACCAACAAATACTTCATGCAATAGTCCATACCTTATACTAACCCGTAGAAGCAAAATATTTAAGCACCATTTAACTAATTTACTCAATATAATTCGCCAAAAATGGTATTTTAACAATCGTTCAAGTGCTTGCCGACTTAACGAAAAGAGCTTATCTTAACGTCAAGTTTGATTTTTGGGCTCCCAAAACACCAGTTAACAACATCTATTTTCCAAAAGTTAAAGTTGCATTGTCATCTACCAAGTTTGTACTTTCAACTTTATTTAAGTGTCACATACATGTTCTATAGTATTTTTGTTTAATAAAAATTGGTTTTAAACCCTAAGTGATATAACATGACTATTGAATCAACTTTCGTTTAGCACTTTTGTTGATCGTTTTGAGTTACGGAAATTGATCTACACACTTTATCACATGCATTGATATATAAATATGATGCTCATGACATAGTTTAGCAAGTTGTTTAAGCGGTAACACCGAGGGTGTTACATTATACAACATACCTTTAATTTGTACAAGGCAATGCAACCTAATGTTGTTTGTTTTGCCTGGATAGGAAGCTGTATAGTGTTATGTGTGTGAGCGCATGTTTTGAACGCGAGATATTTTTTCTGTTCATGTGTTTTTTCCTGTGAAATTGAATTGATTCCTATGAAATTCCTGTGCGATTCTTGTGAAATTTCTGTGTTCCAAACAGACCCTGATTGGTTTCCTACATAGGTGGCTAGACTATGTCTTAGGTTGCAGAGCGGGTGCAGGAGGAAGGGTGCATAGCTAGATACTCAGGGTTTGACCAAATAGTGGGATGTAGGCTGGGCTTGCTTTGAGAACAGTGCTAACCTGTATATATCCTATGCTGATAATCAATCACGAACGAATTTGCACTAAAGGGTTCTAGATAAGGGGTTATGCAGGCAACCAAATAGATCCGGTAGGTGTGACGTTTCATATGTTTTGTGAGCATTTGCATATGTACTATGATTCGAACCAAAGAAGCTAATAGATTAGCTAATGTTTGTCGATGAAGCAACAGAGGCCGATCATTGAATTTGCTTCATTAAATCTACTATGAAATGTCTTGATAGAGAATTTATTTGCTATTGTAGATGTTACTTTATTTTCCGAAATTGATCAAAATTAGAGAAAAAAGATAATCTATGACAAAACGAAACCATTTACGTTCGAATTGAAACGGACAGAGCAGTTACCCAATCTGCAATAGTTACTGGCTTTTATCCTCGAGCAAATCCTTTTATAAGTGGCTAACGCACAAGTCCATCACCGTAGTACGTAGGGGTGACGAACACATTTCAGAGATGCTAGCTCCCAGATGTTCGACGTCCTAGACGTGTCCGGACTCAACTCCTACCAGCCAGCTGTTAAAATTTCTGCCAACCGTGGGCTGGCATCGCGGCCCCACCAACAGGAGTGCGATCTCGGGCTGTTCGTAGTAACATAACAACAAAGCGGTATCCCTGCCCTGCCCTCGTAGTAGAGAAGGGGAGAGCATGCGCTCGTGTCCGCGCCGTCAGCCCCCAGCGCGCCCCCTCCACTGGCCCTCGTCACGCCCCCTCTATAGTGTGAGAACGATGCAAGGCCACAGAAGGTGAGAGGAGACACTGAGGAAAGGCAGAGCAGAAGGTGAGGAGGAAGATGCAAAACTCGATCTACTTTTGAAACATCCAAATACAACACTTGCAACATACGTATGAAAACAGATGAAACACTTAAAACATGCGTCTGAAACACTTGCAAGAACAAATGAAAAAACACTTGAAATCATTGCAAACATACGCAACATCTAGATAAAACACTTATGACATATACGTGAAACATATGCTACATCCTGATAAACACTCTTGCAACATATGTCCGAAAAAATAGATGAAACATTGGGAATAGACATTTGCAATATACGTGTACAACCATTGTAACATATGCTACATCTCGATCTACTTTTACAATATCCATGTAAAACACTTGCAACACTGAAACATGTGCAACACTTCAAAAAAGATGCTTGCAACATGCGCTTTCAAGCGCAACATCTACATGCTGCTTATGAAATAGAAGCTCGTCGACGTGTGGAGTTCACCAGAGACGGCCACGCCGTTGCCACCATGACCATCGCCACCATCAACCGGATCGACTCCTACCACGAGGCTGATGGGGACCCCTTCTTGACCGCCAGTATCCTAGGCTCCCTTAGGACATGCAGTCCCTTGCGGCCGGCGCTATAGTCCCCCCTCCCCCTGCCACCGGATCTCTCGTCGCGTGGTGGATCTGGTGAAAAGAAAAACGAGACAGAGTGGGACGAAGGTGCGTGGCGCGCGATGCGGATGAGCGGTGCCACGTGATGCGGGCGAGCGGGATGGTGCTACGGACGGAGTCCGGGTCTAATCAGTATCGAACGCCTTTTCCGCGACTTCCTGGAGCCCTAGAGCAGTGTGTTGAAGAAGAAGGAAGAAATTATACAACCTCTTCGCTTGGTCGTAAACGATCGTGGATTATAAGCCAGAACAGTTATTTTTCTCTCACACCAAACCAGCCAGCAGTAATAATTCACGATCATTTCAGCCGAAACGAACATGCTGATACTTTGGAGTCCGAGGCCTAGTGCGCCCGTTTCCAGGCTTTTATTTCGGTGGGCCTGGAGTAGTAGTGCCTCATTTCGCGTCCAATGGAGGCCCAGATCTTTGACTGATACAGACACTTCCAGGTGCTAGCCCATGGAACAGACGTAAAGCTGTGCGTACTGCGCTGTCACTGCAGCTCCTCACGAAATGTACAAATCTCGTACCAGCTGCACGGCCGGCCTGACTCAAACCTATTTCAACTCTCCTGCGAATCCAAGTGGAAACGATCCCACGAATTGGCAACAGATACCACCCAGCGCCAAATCGATCAGGACGAGCAACAGGACCACTCATTAAAAATAATCATAATCCTAAGAGCTGTTAGATTGCTCACCAGCTCGATGCACGCACTTTGCAGACCCAGCAGCGATGCCGCCTGCCGCCTGCAGTTCCGGGCATCACACCGTCCACATCAATTCCAGCCGCGCACTCCCTTGTCAGCCTGCATGATATATATATATTGCCCGATCGATCGCCCACCAACGACACAACACAACCCAAGACAAGAACCCAAGACCAAGAGTAGAGAGCACATCGGGCCAACCACATCTTTCCATTTCCATCCATTTTAGCTACTGCATTACTAAGAGCGACGTTCGTTCTGATGGCTTCAGCTGCTCATCGGTCCCTTATGCTCCGCGCGCTGCTGGTGGCGGCGGCCATCGCTGGCGCCCTCTCGGACCCGACGCCGCTCCAGGACATCTGCGTGGCGGACCTGCAGGCCACGACGCTGCTCGACGGCTTCGCGTGCAAGCCGCAGACGGCCGTGGTGGACGACGACTTCTTCTCCCGCGCCATCGCGTCCGCGGCCAGCACCAACAACCCGTTCCGCGTCAACTCCACGCGCGCCACCGTGGCCACGTTCCCGGGGCTCAACACGCTGGGCGTCTCCATCACGCGCGTCGACCTCGCCCCGGGGGGGCTCAACCCGCCGCACTCGCACCCGCGCGCCTCCGAGCTCGTCATGGTGCTCAAGGGCGAGGTCATGGTCGGCTTCACCACGGGGGCCAACCGCCTCTTCTCCAAGGTGGTCAGGGAGAACGAGCTCTTCGTCGTGCCCCGCGGCCTGCAGCACTTCCAGCTCAACAACGGCACCGGCGACGCCGTGTTCATCGCCATGTTCGACGCCCAGTCGCCTGGCGTCGTCACGCCCACCTTCGCCATGTTCTCGACTAAGCCTGCCATGCCCATGGAGGTGCTCACCAAGACGTTCCTCATGGGCGAGGACGAGGTCACCGCCATGAAGTCCAAGTTCATTGGCTTCTGACATGCAATATATACTGCCTACTAGCAGCAGTTCAATCAGCTGCGCATTTACCCGATTCAGTCACGTCAGTGCGTGTATTCATTCGTTTTTACATATTGATTCTCTGTTTCTGAAATTGTACGTTTTTCTCGACAAGTTTGTGTTTGGCCGCCAAATGTGTAAACAGAATGTTAATCCTGTCCCCCCCCCCTCCCCCCTTACAGTGTGAATAATACCTGCATTCTGATCAAAACCTCCTACCAATTGAGCACTGCAAACACACGTTTTTTAGTGCCACACTATCTAAGAAAATCATAGGATACGAGTATATTATCTTTACTCTCTCTCTCTCTCATTGTATCTTCTATTAAAAATTTTCATTTTGTATTTGTTAAAAATAGATTCTAGATCATTGATTCCACCTTATAGTTAGGTCCTGTTTCGGACAGCTCTGCTCCTGTTTTTTCAGCTCCGCTTCACCAACTCCATCATGGAGCAGCTCTACTCTAGAGTTGGTGGAGCAGGATGACCTGTTTGGCACGTAGCTTAGCTCCAGCTATAGAAATGAGAGTTTTCATGAGAACGGTCTAATATACCCTTGAGTGACTTTTGCTATACGTTTTGATATACACATAAAGCATATGAGTGAATGTACTTTTTAGCAATTGAAATATGATATTAAATATTATGTTGTAAATAATTTAATCAAAAAAATCTTAAAAGGCTATCAAAAACATTGTCTGCGTTTGAAAAATCTTTATAGCACATTATGTTCAGTGAAAGATTTGAGCAAGCAGCTGGAACTGTTTGGTTGGGTAATTTAGGAGCGGAGCAGCAAAAGTTGGAGCAGAGCAGTCCCAAACAGGGCCTTATTAAAATCCCATGAACATTTGTTTTGGTCTATACCATGGCACTCAAGATGCTATACTCATTCCGTTCCAAATTATAAGTCGTTTTGACTTTTAAGATATATAGCTTTTGTTATACATTTAGATATACGCTATGTTCAGATACATAACAAAATATATAGAAAAAGTCAAAATGACTTACAAGTATTTATTTTATATATTATATGTGTATTATTGTTAAAAAAAATATAGAATGCCAAGATTTAAATTACCAATATTAATGTCATACTGTTTTAGATAAAATATAAACTTATCTGAAGTAATAACTTACAAATTTTATTATCCTAGAGTTTATATAACTTTAAGAGAATTGTTAGAGTCATTGGTTGGTGGTAGCATAGATATCAACGCTCTCGTAGCGTCTTCGCAGAACTGTGTATAGAAGAGAAAAAGAGAATTGCTAGTCACATCTTCTATGACTAAACAGGAGAGCCCGTATGAGACCACGTAACGGGCAGTGGGATGCTCTGAGCGGTACAACCTGCATTCCTAGGATGATCTTGTAGAAGGGCGTCTCACTCGGGCGAAGATGGCATCTCAGGATCTTCATACGATCCAGGGTGTCGAAATAGACGATATTGAGTCTGCTGCCACCATCCATGGGCACCCTCGAAAGGCGAATGCTGCCGATGATCGGGGTAACGACGAGCGGGAAATGACCCGGGTTAGGTACATGATCGGGATAATCATCCCGACCAAAGGTACGCAGGCACGAGGGCACTGCGGCCTCAACACGCTCACCTCCCGCTCGGTGAGTTCCCGCCGCTGCCTACATTCATGGGCCTGCTCTTCACCGAATATCATGACATTCTTTATTGGACACTTGCCCAACTCGGTATATCGATTTCTATCTCAATTGTGTTACTTTCATCGATATACTTGTGTGGTAGTTGCTAGTCTTCTTGTGTGTCTAGTTGAGTAGCCTAGTATAGCTTTAAGGTAATTAGTCGTTCTCATTAGCTTGCTCATTAGTTCATAGTTGTAGAGACTTAGCATAGCTCATTGATTGCCATAGAGATCATAGCACTCTAGTATATTGGTACGTGGCTTGCTTTTTTAGTAGAGATAGAGCAAAACGCAGTTATCGTCATTTAGTTGTCTAATCCTTTGCTCTAGTATTTTGTAAAAAAAATTATTAGGCTATTCACCCCTATAGCCATTTAGGACCTTTTAGCGTTGTCGGCTCAATCAGAGAGGAGCGCCTGCTGGGATGTGTTCGTGAGCACCGTACTAATCAGATGTAAGCTTGTTTCCTGCCCACATGAGTGAAGAGTAAAATCCAAGAAAGATGGATAAGGGAAATGCAAAAGTATTATCCTTGTGTTTGGATCTTGCGGCAGTGAGCTCGAGCAGGCACGGCAGTCAGTACCAGCTTGGTCACCGTTGGATCTATGCGGGCCGGTGAGGCGTATCGGCGCGGAGCACTAGATTGTCGGCGGTGAGTGGTGGCTTAGACGCGACTGAGTAGGGACGGTCACGCCGTTCAGCAGTGGGGAGCAGGAGCGGTGATGGGGAATAGCAGCACTGAGGAGGAGACAGATAGGGTGGAGAAGCGGTCTTTGTAAGCTAAAGTAGGAGCCACCGGAATGAAAATTTGAGTAAAACTTTGTAAATACAAGCGGGTTTGAAAATTGATGATAGGGGTACCATCCTGACCGTCTGCAAGCGACGGTGAAGGCTGCCGGCGGTGGAGATTGGGTGTTACGAAGATGTTAGCACCTAACAACTGACGTGTCACACGGTTTCGAACTCTAAGGTGCTCGGGGGCTACCATCACAGTACCGATCGTAGAAAGACCACTTCTCCATCACACAAAATAAACATCATAGCAAAAATAATTCAAATCCAAAAAAATACATTGAATTAAGAACGAGCAGAGTAGTCACCCAATGGACGATAGCGGTACCATTCTTAAAATACATTAATGTCTTGATAGAGAATTTATTTGCTGTTGTAGATGCTACTTTATTTTTCAAAATTGATAAAAAATAGAAAAAATTTAACCTATGACAAAAACGAAACCTTTTACGTTCGAATTGAAACGGACAGAGCAATCACCCAATGGACCGTCGGAAGCTAACACTGCAATAGTTACTGGGTTTTTTCCTCCAGCAATCCTTTTATGTAAGTGGCTAACGCACAAGTCCATCACCGTAGTCCGCAGGGGATGATGGACGCATTTTCCGCACTGGAGGACTTGCCTGGAGCCCTGGACTGCCTCCTACGTTACCAAATAACAATAGCAGTGTGTTGACGAAGAAGGAAGAAAACTTTATTTTGGAGTAGGAGGCCCAGTGTGGCTCGTTTCCATGCTTTTATTTGGGTGGACCTGGACTAGTAGGGCATGTTTGGTTCACTTTCCAGCCCAGCCTGGCTCGCATCAGCCAGCCAGGCCCCCTTTGGCCAGGCTGAGGGCATGTAAGGGGTGGTTGTTTGGTTAGCTGGCTCCCAGCAGTCTGGTCACATGCAGCCGGTGTTTGGTTCTCTGAACCTGCATCTGATTCAAATTAAGAGGATGCAGGAACCATGTTTGGTTGCCTGCATAGAAGCTGGTGGAGTTACCACTTTATTTTAGTGGTAAGGTTACCACCAACAAGTCCAAAGTTTGCTACAACACTTTGTTTGCAATGAATATTACATCATTTTGGAAAGCTAAATTAAAATTACTAAAGCCTGGACTAATATTATTACACCCTCCACTAAAATTATAATATCCTCTCAGTTGTGACCTTCCTTCTTTGCAATGCATACCGCATGCTCCACTACGAACATGCCATCGGCTTCATTTTTTCTTCAGCTTTTAGACCATGGAATGACAAACAAAAAATTAAAGTTCATCAATGACATAAGGCATGTGCTCAGTATAATAAACCAAAACATCATTGGCATAAGGCATGTGCTCAGTATATATAAAAAAACCTCATCTTGGCACAAGGCATGGGCTTAGTTTTAAAAAACGTCATCATTGGCATTAGACAAAAGCTCATATTGAAATGGTCACATCATTGGCAAACAAGATCAGATTAGTTCTCAGATCATCAAGTTCACATCAATGTCAACACAGGCAAAAAGAGATGCACCAGCTAGGTAAAGAATGCAGGCTCAGGTATAAGAAAACAAGCATCACAGGCAATGGACATGTGCTCAGATATAAGAAAACAAACATCACAGGCAATAAGGCAAGTGCTCAGAATGAAATTGTGCAAATCACAGGCACAGGCTGGTGCCCATATCAAGTTCAGAACCACAAGGTTCACATCATTGGCAATGGACTCATGGTCAGATTGCCACCACTAGGTTGATCTAGGTTGTAGGTGCAGGATTATCTAAGACACTAACTATATGTTAGTGTTAGTAAGTAAGCTATGCAGGATCAGATCAACTGCACAAAAGAGAAGGTCAACCCACTACACATCCACCAGCTGTAGTTAAGTATGCACAAAAGAGGCCACCACTGCACAGGGATAGGCACTGCATCAGAAGACCACCATGATAATGCAGGCACTGCACAAAAGGATCAACCCTAAGCTGTGAAGCCTTCACATGTAGTAGTGCTTGGCCAAGTAGGTCCTTAGCCACAGCTCACGGTGGGAGTCAGACATCTTGACAAAAGCTGAACCTAAGGCCTTGTTGTCCAGCAGATGGCCATAAGCACACATCAGTGCTTCTTCAGTGAAGCCTGGCACAAACATAACAGCACCATACAGCTCAGGGTGGGAATCCTCAACCTTGGTCGACCTAATAGCATCAGCAACATCCTTCACTGCCTCTGCCATGCCAGTGAACAGAACAACATCCTCTTCTGCCAGCATGGATCTCTTCCTCTTGTTACCAACTCCTCCCTCACTCTTGGTATCCTCAGGAGTCACAGTCTTGCCACTGTTCAGGATCTCAGTCTTCAGTGAGCTCTTAGCACAGTCAGATGGTGTGCCAAGTGGCTCATTGGAGCCCATAGCCCACTTGCCTGTTGCCTGACCATTGCCAAAGATGACCATCATCTGCTTGTAGTGTTGTATGGGCTTGTTGAGCAGTGGAGCATCATTGGGGTGGTCCTGCATAATGAAATGTCCCTTGTTAGCCATAATGACAAAATGTTTCAAAGAGTCATCTAAC